TGCGCCAGTAAATCCCATGAGCTCTGGAGGATGTTGGTCTGTCCGTGCTGGAGCCCCTGCGTGGTCCTGAGCACGGAGACGGGAACCAGGAGGGTATCGATCCCTTCAGCACACGGTGCAGACAGAAAAGCCAAGCCCATTGCTTGGTTTATCAACGTTACCCAATATTTTCCATTGCCAGAGTGTGTCTGCCTTCTCTGAAGCTTCTTCTGCCTTTCCTTTGTAGGGTGAGCCAGGCCCCCACGGACCCCCGGGGGCACCTGGAGAGGATGGGGAGAGGGTAAGTGTATCTCTGGATTCAGCAGTCCTCTGAATTCACAACTAACTCCCGCAAACAAGAAGCAGATGCAATATCAGCCAGAGACGTGGCAAGAGCCGCCGGCGCACGAGCTGCTGCCCGTCCCCGTGTCCTGGGGACGCTGCGGGTGGCCATGGCGAGGGGAAAGCAGGGCAAGGAGATGGGAATGCAAGGGGAAAGAAGAATTTGTTTTTAAAGATCTGTTCAGAAAACTCAGGTTTTGCTAAAAGAAAGGAAAAAAAAAAACCGCAAGAAAAATGTTTATCCTCTAGGTGAGCACACTATCGCTTCTAATTTTCTAAGATCCAGCAAACTGCAGCGAGACTTGGGGAGCAGAAATTCCAGACAGACATGGGAATTAAAGATTAAATTGTTCACGTCTCCTTCCACACTGTTTAGTCAATAGTCGAAGGCCTTTAGCAAAGCTTAAACTGGTTTAAGTGGAGAGATTGAAAATGCCAAATCCGTGGCTGTGAGGGAGCGTGTGCTTCAATCAGAGGAGCGAGGATGGATTTCCCAGGCTCCCACGATGTTTTCTTCCCACCTCTGGCTATTTGTTTCCTCTGTAAAGCGCAGGTAATAACACCTTCCCCACCATGAACTTGTGGGGATTAATTAGTTGCGGCTGTAAAGGGCTTTGAAGTTGAAAAGACCGAACCCGTGTCTTGCGGGGGAAGAACGAGAGCCTGGGGAACTTCAATGGTAAAGAGGAAAAGAAACTATTTGAGGTGTGCTGGGAGAGCAGCTCGGAGGGCACAGCTGGGAAGAAGAGCGTGGATTCTATCCGCAGAAGAGGAGGGTTACAAGGGCTGGCTGCGGGGATTCATTTCTTAAGAGGGAGCCTCAGGTTTGGGGTGATTTCAAAGCAGCTCAGGGAAGCACCGTCTGATACTCCCGGGGGATCAGTGGGGCATCAGCAGGAGATGGAGTGGAGGGATGGAGAATGACCCCTTTGCTGCCTCTGGTTTATCTGAGGAGCCCTGATTTCACCAAATCACTCTCCCACGCTGGTTTCCCATTCAGCTTGGAAATAAATCTTGTGCTTATTGACTCGTGTGCCCTGAATTGTTTGTGCAATATCTTGTCTATTAGCAAAATCCATCTTTATAAACACCGACATGAATTACGAAGTATCCTTACAGCATTTCTAATCCTCGGTAAATTCTGCACACGCAGTATTAGTCTCCAGGCTTACGAGGTCTTCCTTATGCACGGCTACCCTGTTATTACCCCAGGGAAGCTGGGTTTCTCTGTGATTATTATTTAACAAGAATGAAACACCTGCAATGTGACTGAAATATAACTGCTTTGTTCTGTCTCTGTCGCCGCTTCTCTCTGCGCCTTCGCTGCCGAGCAGGGAGATGATGGAGAAGTCGGACCCAGAGGTCTGCCTGGAGAACCTGTGAGTATCTCATCCGTTGGCTTGATGTACAGCAGCACTGCTTGGGTCAATGTCTTGAGAAAACCAGTGGTTTTAGGGATGGATCCCATGGGGCAGCTCTTCTGGTGCTCAGCAAGACCCCTGAGGTCCTGCAGGAACTGAGCTTCTCATGCTTGAAAATCCACGTGAAGGGTTTAGAGATTATCAGTGCTGTAACACCTCTGTTTTGCTTTTTTTTCCACTAAGATGCAAGAAGAGAAGGTGCTTTCTAGTTTCTTTTAATTTTTTTTGTGTTGTTTTTCTTTTTTTTTTTTTCCTAATGAGCAAAATTCTCATTGGTTTAGTTTGCTCCCTGGCTAGTCTTTGAAAAAAAAAAAGTGATTGTAAATGTGAAGCTTAGCTTAGATTGGTCTCATACCTTTCCTGCATGTATCCTTCTACCTGATGTGTTATTTAGGGTTCAGGTGAGTCGACTGGGGTAGAAAGTATGCATAGCAAACTTATCTGAAATACCGTTTTCACATGTGTTCATAGCAAACTCCAGTGAGAAGAGGTTTTTTCTGCCATTGCACAGGTAACGGCGGCAGTTGCTGTGCAGCTCCCGTGCCCCTAGATTTCATTTTGTACCGCGTGAGTGATCCCTTGTCAATCTCAGGAGGAAACCCTGGCAGGCTTGAGCTCAAGGGGACTTTAACCTTCACTTCAGTGGGCTCAATATTCTGTTCACAGTGCACAAAACGTCAGAAATGTGCAGAGTTTGTCAATGTTTGGACCTCCGCGTGCTGCTGAGTCTGGAGCAGCTGAACCAGGGCTAGAGGCGGAGGGAGCTCGTAGGTTAAAAGGAGATGCTAGTGGTGTTGGACAAAACTCGCTTGACCAACCCAAAGAAATGCTTTCAGGGAATATCTCACTGAAAAGAAACAGTTGGGTTGTCAGTTTGAGACTCTGAAAGCATTTTTCCCCCCAGTACCGAGTGGTTTTTACTTTGTTGGCCGTGATGAACTCTGCTTCTGGCTGCCTGGAGATTTTTGTGTGTAGCGCAGTTGTTGGCTGCTTATTTCACCCAAAAACGCATTTCCTTTGTTATGAAAAGAACATTATCTATCATTCACCGCCAGCTTTGCTTTCAAAATGCCTTTTTTTTTGTTGTTGTTCTAAGGCCCAGTGTGGTGGCCGGAGAGTAATTGATGAGAAGTGTTGGATACACTTTGTGGGAGAAAGGGAAGGGCTGGCATTTACGGACTCACTGGAACTAAATTATAGACGAGATGTCTGATTAAATTCTGGGAAAGATTAATCAACTCGGCTATCTCCTTAGCACATGTCTAAGCAATAACTTATGGTTTATTAACTTTTTAAAAGCGTTTATGCACTCAGGTAACACAGTAACAAAAGGGGAACTTAAGTGATGATAAGACATGCTGGGAAGTTTATTTTTATATCAGCAACACGAGTATAAATAATCTGTGATGGCCAGAGTAAAGGTTTAAATTGTATTACAGGAAACCTTTTGTCATAAATATATACACCCTAAATCTGCATGTTTGTCTGTTTCTCTGCCCTGAGCTAGAAGAGGGTCTTTGCAAATTTAATGGTAACTGAAACCAGTGGTGGGACTTCAAAATTTATTTATCATCCTCCTCCTCTGTTGCCTTCCAATCCCCATTGCCTGTTGATACAAGCAGAGTTTCTGCTCTGATAGGGATCAGTGGGCAAGGCTTTAGCCCCTGTGCAAGGCTGTAGCCCCCATGCAAAGCTGTAGCCCCCATGCAAAGCTGTAGCCTGTGGAGGTCTCCGTGGCTGGACAGACCACCAGCCCAATGCATCCAGTTTGTGCTGCAAGCTGCATTTTTTGCAGGATCAAAATCCCCACAGCCTCCAAGATCAGACACTGTCTTAATGTCTCCTGTTTTATCCTGTAACATTTCATTTTAATTCCTCTGTCCTCTCTGTGTCATAAAAAGGGACATATAGTATTTGGGCAGACAGATAAAACTGCCCATCAATCAAGGACGATTTTCCTTCGTGAGAGCGAATGAGCACTGTCCTTGTAAATACCCAAAGTCCACCCACGGTCTCTAATTTAAGAAATGGTGTTTAAAAGGTGAGCTTTTGGATCTGCAGCTGAGTGCCCCCCAGACCCCGTCCCTTTCCTTTTGCTACAAACCCACCTGGAAGCTCCAGGCAGAGGAGGTGCTGGGCTGTGATTTGCAAAGCCTCCTATGGAATGGACACACTTCTGCCATGTCTCTGCTTATTCAATGTGATGTTCCAATCCTGCCAATATCCCCGAGGATGATGCAAGGTTAAATCTGGTGAGAAAGCTAGAAATGGAATGAAAACACATAGTACCAGGAGTCCTGGCTGGTTAAGGTTACAGAACCAAATGCCTTTGAAAATGTACATTCATGCTGCAGGCTGAAAACCTTTTCCAGCCTTACTGAGTTATATAGATTGTCAATGATAAAAATTAAAGCTGGAAAGATTTTGAAATGCTAACCTTAATGATTCGTTAGCAGTATCAGGTCATTCTTCATAATACTCCCCAGCTAGAATGACTTGGCTGCAGAGTGTTTTGCATCATTGTGTGTGTTACAGGGTAATCCAGGAACATGATTAAATTAATTAAAAAAAGTTGTTTTAAGCGGGCCTTCTTCCAATCCAAAGAATAAAAGTCTGTGTCTGTATTATTTATCTTTATAATTCAAGGTTACATGCACACAGGATTTTTTTTTACCAGCTTGTAAACCAAGCAAGCTGCTGTCATTGCAAAACCAGCGAGGTCATCACCGTGCCAGCCCCGATGCCTCCCCGGGCAGAGCGATGCTCAGCCACACACGAGCGCGCCCCGATCCGTGCTCACGGCTGGAACCACTAACCCCATTTATTTCCCCTAACAGGGACCCCGAGGACTGCTGGGACCGAAGGGGCCACCCGGACCCCCAGGGCCACCGGTGAGTTCTCAGGACTGCTGCTCTCCTCAGGCGGTCGGCTGAGCTTTCCGGGCCAAATACCCCGTCCTCATTAGTCATTGCAGCAGATAATCCAGCTGCATTATTTTCTACATCTGTGCAACAAAAAGAAGCGTTGGTCAAAAAAAAAGGTTATGGCTCAAAGTCCGTATTCTCCCCCATTTTCAGTGGCATCACGTCCATTTCCAGCAGCTCAAGATTTGGCCCACCTGAGTAAATATTAATGCCTCGCTCCAGCTGCAAGGGAAGAATGAGAGTTATTAACACAGTGGCTTTGCTATTAACTTTTGCTTGAGGGCTGGTGAGACTTTAAAGCAGTTTGTTCATATCTGGGGCAAAAGCCGAGGAGAGAACGTGCCGTTTTTTATTCGGGAGACAGTCACCTTCTCTGCTGTGCGCTGCTGGATGTGCTGGTGCGGGGGCTTTCTCTGTAAACCACTGCAGCTCACTCGGGTCCCAGAACTTAAAAACCCCAAACCTCGGCTGCTGCTGGAGCTAAAGGGGTCAGTGTTTAATGGTGAGCGTGGAGAAGCCCTGAGCCCCTCCTGGGACATGAAGACATCTTCCCACTGCACTTTTTCTGAATTTAATGAAAGTTCAGGATCTGCTCCCAAACCATCTCCGACGAACATGCCATTGCACCCAGATACCTTGTCCTGCCCCAGAGCAAAACGATGGCAGGGGAACCCCCCAGTGGGACATCTCCAGTTGACCATGTCCTGTGTCACCCCCTTGATGAAGATGCTCCAGGAGTTTTTGAGCCCTGCTGCCTTGTTGAGTGATGCATTGGCACCCCGAGCAAGGTCTTTTGTCCAGTTTCTCCTTTTCATTTGCTACCCCACGCCCGCTCACTGCGGTTCTTAGCCGGGATTTGGTTGACCTGGTGCTGGTTCTGCCTCACAGGCAGGTTAAACCAGCAGAGAAAACGCTGAAATGACTTTTTAAAGTATAAACTGGATTCGTGGAATTGGCGGCTTTACCAAACACCTTTAGAAAATTGTTCCCTTTCCGTGCAGTCCAAAGGGCCTCCTGATGTTTTGTTATTTTTATGGCAATTTCTCTGCTTTTTCTGGTGCAAAATAATGAGATATTTTCTTAGTGCTGTTCTTTTAAATCCTTTCTCAGGGTGTGGCTGGTATGGATGGACAAACAGGTCCCAAGGGGAATGTGGTAAGTTCTCACTGCAAATTTTACAGATCGTTCAGATATTATATAGAGTGAAATGTAAAATGTACTCCATTACATTACGTTTGCTAATTGCTTTTTAGCCTGGTCTAGATTCCTATCAGAGCCTGTGAAAACCATAGAGAGTATCTTCCAACAGCAAATGGATGTTAATTTATTATAATTTCTGATGGAATTACACATTATTTCCCCATGAAAGATCAAACATTTTCATCAAGATGTGTGTTGTTCTAATGAATACCAAAATGTAGTCATTTAACTGAGGGGAAGAAAAACCCCTTTATGTGCCTCATGCTTTGTACTGATGGGATGAACTGGACTCCCTGCAGAAGAGCCAGTGCAGAGCCAGGCTGTGCTGAAGCCCTGCTCAGCTCCTTTGGGCTGCGTGTCATGGAATCATGGAATGGTTTGGGTTGGAAGGGACCTTAAAGACCATTGAGTCCCACCCCCTGCCATGGGCAGGGACACCTCCCACCAGCCCAGGTTGCCCAAAGCCTCATCCAGCCTGGCCTTGAACCCCTCCAGGGATGGGGCATCCACAGCTTCTCTGGGCACCCTGGGCCACTGCCTCACCCCCCGCACAGGAAAATGTCCATGCTGAGAAGTGAGAGTGCCCTGAAATAACTTCACCCCTCCCTATCCCAGCATGGAGAGAAGCTGTTTCCCTTTCCCCGGAGCTCTTGGTTGCCGGCGGTGGGGTGGGAGGATATGGAGATGCTGCGGAGCTGTGCAGGGGCAGGAGCCGCAGTGCCTGTGGATGCTCCGCTCTCGCCTTCCCTGCCCTCAGCTCTGCCCTTGTCTCCCCGCAGGGTCCTCAAGGCGAGCCGGGTCCCCCAGGACAGCAGGGTAACCCGGGTGCTCAGGTAAGAGGAAAAACTCCTTTTCCATGGGGAGGAAGAAGGATTGATAATTTTGAACAAGCTTCACTCCCCAGCCAGAGACGGGACCAGCAATAAGGAGATTTGCTGGGAATTGGGTTCATGATACATCTCCGGCCCAAAATCTTCCTGAAAAGGCTCCCAGTTTCAGATTCCCCTGGTTCTCACTGTGCTTTTGCTGCTGTGATGCACAGCCAAACCCAGGTCCAGGCAGTCTCTTCACTGAGCCACATCTTACGGCTCAGGGCTGATTTTTAGCATCGCACGGTCCGGTCGCTCCGGAGCCGGCTGGGTGATGCAGATGTCCGAGCTTTGGTGTCAGCCTTCTCCATGGCTCTGAGCAAGTCTTGCTCCTCGAAGCATCTCTGTTTCCATCTTAGGGATGAGCCTGGCTGCACACAGCGGAGCGGTGCGGCTCTCCAGAGGAGGCATGCTGTGCAAAAACTAAATTTTGTCAGCTCTCACAAGACATTTTGAGAATGAATGGAGCTGGGGAAATCCCCAGCCGTCACAGGCACTATAATGATGCTCAGCTGAGGCCCTGCCAAAATGCTTTTGGAAGGAATAGCTTGCTCCTTAATGACCCTTTTTTTCTTTCTTTTCCAAGGGTCTTCCAGGTCCACAAGGCGCGATCGGTCCCCCAGGAGAGAAGGTAGGTTTCAATACTGCAGCTCTGACTTAAAACAACTGCTCCCATTAATATGCATTTGCTACTTCAGCTGCTCCTTTGCCCCATATGCAACATCTGGTTGCAGCCGTGCCTATGAAAGTCTAATGCCTCTCATTCCAGACAGAAAAGAGATGAGAAAGCATGGTTTACCTCTAATTCATAATATTTGCATTCATTTCCCCTCTTAAGAGAAACATTTTTGAAGGCAGCCTATGGTAAAACATTAGAGGAGGACTGAAAAATTGTCTCTTTCTGTGGGCTAAATGCCTGGAAGTCTGAGCGGGATGGTAATGGGAAGAGCCCGCAGATTTGGCTCTATCAGCCAAGATCCACTCCCCAGCTCCCTCCCATTCTCCACTGCTGTTGACATGGGGCAGGTGCTGGCCTCGGTTCCCCCCAGGCAGCTCTGGGACCATCAGGATTTAAACCAGGGCAACAGTTTTGCCTACACAGGAGTAATCCTTTGGGTGTTTGCTCAGCTCCTGGTGAGCAAGGACACGGAGTGCATCCTGGTGTGCATCCCAGGAGAGTCCCCAGCTTGAGTGGGCAGCGTGGGGTGGCCTCAAATTATCAATAATTGTCCTGTGAAGCAGCATGTTAACAGTTCTACCCGATAAAGGGCTTTCTGGTTTCAGTGCTGAACCCCATGCAGCAGCAGCGGTGGTGCTCGGTGGCGTGGCAAATCAGGGGGTTGCTTAATTAAAAAGGTAATCATTGAAACATTGAAATGTTAGAGCAGAAAGAACAGTCAAACTGGGCAGCTCTGGTTGTCCTTTGCTGGTTAATTGCCTTGCTGTTCATCACCAGAGAAAGGGGCATTTCTTGGTCCCATGAGCCCCATAGTTTGGTATCTTCCAACCTGTGCTCGTACACGTGTGCAGCATTCAGCAGGATGGCAGCTTGATGCCTCATGCTCCAGCATCTCCTGTTGAACGCTCATTGCTGTATCGTGTCTGTGTGAGGGACCAGCACCAATGCTGCAGCATCCCAGGATGCTGGAACAACTCTGCCCACGGAAATACGCAGACTCCTGCAAGTCACGGCAGTTTTCTGACACACCTCACCTCTCTGCAGCCTTTCACAGCTAGGAAAAGCAAGAAATGTGTTGGAAAAGCAAGAAATGTGTCTGAAAAGCCCCATCTTCTGATGCTCTGGAGACTCTGACCATTGCAGCTGCTGATTTTCTGTTTGTTTTTAGGGGCCGTTGGGCAAACCCGGTCTCCCTGGCATGCCTGGCGCGGATGGTCCTCCGGTAAGTCATCCTCTCCCTGGAGTGCACCGTGGGCTTGTGAAGCACATCAGGCTCACCCTGCCCATGGTCCAGCTGGGTTGAAGGGTTTGGGTTTGGGAAGCCCTGGCCCTGCTCCAAGCTTTGCTCAGCCTTGCAGCACTAGGTCCTTCTCTCCATCTTTTCGGACTTCTCTTTGCCTTCCTTCGTCTCTCCTCTCTGTTTTACGGAGGCTGGCAGCTCACCGAGGCGGGGATGCTCTCCTGGGTGTGTGTTTGTGCATGGGGTGGTCCTCGCCTCGGTCGGGGATGCTGGGCGCTGCTGCAGAGCGGTGATAAGAGCAGGTGGAAATTGCCTGTCAGTGTTGTATTCTTGCAGCTTTCCTCCTAATCCTACTTTAAACATCATTTGCTTCTTGCTGGGGAAATTGGTCTTAAAAATCTTTGGCCTTTAAACCTGATCTCATTTTTACACACCTCAGAGGCACCTGCTTGTACGAATGACAAATGTGAAATAGTTACATTCCACTAATGCAAATGCAGAATATGGCAAAAAAAAAAAAAAATTACATCTCCCACCCTGGGATTATCATTCCTACAGAGGGCTTTTCGAACATTCATACAACTGTTAGCTGAGTCAACAGAGCAGCTAAAGCAAAGCCCAGAAGATCTCTAAGGCTGTAGTTTTCGATGTGAAATTCCTACAGCAGCCTCCAGGGAAGTTCAGCTGGAGAAGACACCAGCTCTATTGTTATCCAGACTGAAGGCTGTAGAAGAGCTGCAAGCTGAGGGTGTGTGGGTCTGCACGGGCACTGGTCCTTTGTCACAGGTGGTGTACAGTTTGTAGGTTTCTAAGCTCATGGGTTGCTCTTTCCAAGGACAAAACCCCAGCTGTGTTCTCTGGATAGAGACTGGTCTTGGAAGACATCTGAAAATCCCCAAGGGCCTGGAGCATCTCGCTGCGAAAGCCGACCAAGTTGCTCATTAATTTTTTTATCTTAGTAGCAGTAGTGGAAATGGGCATTTTGAAAATGGTGATGATTTAGTGTAGAGTGGCTGAGGACTTTTGCCACTTCCATTTTGCCTTTGGGGTGCAGGTATCGGGAGCTGAAGACAAGCACGGTTAGATGACCTACTTTGTGCACGGACGCTCTCGGTGCCGTTTAAACTCAGCACAAATTCAGGTTGTGTTTTCTCCTCCATTTTGTTGGTGTATAAATGACAGCTGTCGTTTTGTTTCTTTATTAAACCAGCGTGTTTTATGAAATCCGGCTTGTCTGACATTCCTGTTCTGATGATGGAAAATCATCTCATGATTTGACTTGTTATTTTGCTAGAAAGTCATTTGTGCATTTCAAAGGGAGTTAGTAAGTAAAGAAACCATTGAGTGCAGAAGGTCTGAGTGGCTTTAGAGCAGCTGGATGTGCTCTCATCATCTTTATAAAAGAAAAGGTCCCTGGGTGTGCAGTGAGTGCCCTCGTGGGGGCTCATTGCTTTTGTACAGACACTGCCAACGAAAGAGTCATCTTCCATCCTGGCCCCATTTTGGTTCCGACAGTAGGAAAATCAACACTAAAATCCCCCATTTCTCACTCATCCTCCAAGCTATACCTGAGGCAAATGACACTTTTGTTTTCCACTGACTGCAACCCCAGCAAAAGGCTTCTGAAGGCTGTGAATGAGAATGTCTTGGAAACTCTTGGATGTTGAGTTATTCAGCATCAAATCCCCAGAGGAATGCTGGCCAGCATCCAGCCAGCCCGAGTTTAATGGAGATGCAGGTTAGCTGAGTGTTTGTCATGAGATCTTGTAATGGACTCTAGGAATTAGGAAATTAATGAGGGGCTCTGACCAGTCTGGGCATCTTGTGACCTTCACAAGTTTGCTAACACACGGAGCTAATTTTATCTGTTTTCCTACCTGCAAAATTTATATTCTGCTTGCTGCTGAACTCACTGAGGTGTTCTGATATGCGAAGAATATTGCAAAATGGTTTGTGCTTCCCTGCTGAAAGGTGGTGAAGAGGAAAAGTGTAAAATAACCAGGTGGAATACCACCAAGGACCCAACTGCATTGGAGCATTAGATGTGCACTAAACCCATTTCCCTCTTCTCTTTGTCTCTTTTATTAACAGGGTCATCCTGGCAAGGAAGGTCCTCCTGGAGAGAAGGGCAGTCAGGTGGGTGTCAGCAAGGTCCTTGTCACCGCGAAGGGGAAGGTGACGGTAGCTGGATGGAGACAGATCTCCATGGGGCTCCGGGGATGGCTGGGCAGCCAAGGGATGTGGGTCAGTGGAGGTGGCAAGAAGCAAACCCTGTTGAAATTTGAAAGCTGAGCCCAGCTTTCATCTGCTTGGGAATCTCTTCTGGTGCTTGGGTTGGTCTTTTCTCAGCTCCTCCCAGCTTTCCTGGCAAGCCTTCTCTTCATCAGCCACAAATAAATAACCTTCGTGGGACAGGGAATGCAGAGAGCAACTCTTTTTGTGTTCCTGGCCTTTCTTTTTCTTCCTCTCCCCCTCAAACGAATCTCCAATCTTATGTATAAATCCCCTTTCCAACAAGTTGCTGTCTTCTCTCCTCTCTTCCTCCTTTCCTATCGTATGGACCATTGGCTCAGCCCAGTGCACCCGCCTGAGGTGATGCTCCTGTAGCTCTCTATGCTATTTTGAGCTATTTTCAGATGACCACTGCCATTTCCACCTGTCCTGAAGCAGCCAGAAGGCTGGGATATTTGTTTTCCACAATTCTCCTTATTGCTGCACCTTCATGTTGAGTTTTGATGTGTTTTTCTTCTTTGCATTTTTTTCACCCTAGGGTCCACCAGGTCCTCAGGGCCCCATCGGTTATCCAGGACCACGCGGAGTCAAGGTAGGGAAGATGCAGAAACAGCATCCGTGGTGTTGCTTCGGTAACCCAAGTTCTCCGGCTTGTGCTGGAGATGGACAGTGCCGGTGGGCACAGATGTCCTGCCAGGGTGCTTTGGGCCACCTCGAGTGAGCCTTGGTCCAGCATCTTGTCACAGGCCAGGAGGATTACAAGTCCCCTGCTCTCCACTAACCCCTCCCTAGCATCGTTCAGTGCTTTGGAGAGATTTCTCTTGTAATTCTTGGTGAGCATGGCTCAGTCCCATTCCAATCGTTTCCAGTTTACAACCAAAGTAAATCTCAGCCAGAACGCGAACACTTTAACAAGGCTTGTTAATAAAACAAAATAACCTATTCCTGAAACAAAGCAAGCTTTTCATGCTCCTGATCCAAAACCTTGTCAGACGAAGCAATGTGCGTTTTCACTAGAGTGAATTCCAGCTCTTTCCCCGCTCCTCCTGCCTGCAGAGCTTGCATGCTGATGAGAAAGCTGTGGGTGTTTTTTTCCCCATTCAGCTCGGGCTGTTACGCCCATCACGATGTATTAGTTCAGGTGCAGATGCATCCTGCATCCCAAAGGTCCAATGAATCCACAGGGATCTGTGCTAGCAGATACAAGCACAGCTCAGGGAATGACTATAGGTGACATTAAGCCTTCTTAAACCCCCTCGTATATTTTTCCAATAGCACAAAACTTTTTGCTATTCTGCCTTCACAATTTAAGCGGGATGTATTTGCCAAAGCAAGCTTTCATCTCACTTCTTGCAAAGCTGCAGATTGAGACGTAGTGGTCCATTAGGGAACGGTTTGCTGTTGTGTTTCCCACTAAACTGGAACTGTTCCACATTAGAATGATCTAGAGAAAGTGTGTCATGCACCAAACCCGTAGTGCGTACAGACAAGGTTTTGCTTCCTACGAGCAGTGTTCTATTAACTGCACGAGCCTCCAGCCTGGAAAAAAAAAAAAAAAGTGTCTCATTGGGTTTTAGATCTTGCCTCGCTTACTAGAAGCCTGTCCTGCTGCACAAATTCTGGTGTAGTTTTAATTATGCTTTCTCTTGGCATGCTAAAGGGGAGAAAAATATTAAAATAACCCAAGCAAAATATTATTCCTCAAAAAAAAAAAAAAGCTGCTGGTTTCTATTGTAAGAGTTGCATTGCACAATACAGCTGGGGTAGATACCCAAGGGTGATGTTTTATCCCCAGAGGCAGGATAGATGGGAAGTGTGGGGGTCCCACGGGTTTGGGCTGGTGGCATAGCAGGGAGCAGATCCTGACCACGCTCAGCACCTCTGGGCTGAGCACCACACCTTGGGGAAGCTTTGGAGGCTTCTGCACCGTGTCACAAATGGCCCCACCAGTCATGTTCCTTTTTTTTACCCCTCCTTTTATTACCTAAATCTACTTCAAGCAGCATAATGCATGCACAGAGGTGAGCACCATGGTAAAAAAGAGCCAAGATGAACCTCCCAGGGTGTTAGACACGGCGCTGCTACCCGCTGCAGAGCAGCACGGAAATCCCTGACTGTGCTCGGAGATTTTAACACGGATTCACTTCCCAAGTGTCCGTGCACAGCTCGAGCACTGGTTTTTGCTGTGAATACTTGGGCGTGCTGGCAAGGCATTTATGGTAATGATATTTTGGAAAATATAGGCAGAAAAAACTTTTCAAAGTGAGTTTTATCCCTGGAAACATAACTGCAGGGCAGGGGATGGGCAGAGACCACCAACCCCAAATCAAGTCAGCAGGGGTTTGTGCTATAGGGTACTCACTGGTGCAGACGTCAGCAGCTGATATCAATTAGCAATATGTTCAGGAACATCATAGTTTGCAGAGATGCCATCATCAATGTCAGAGGAAGCGAAAATCACCATAATTAATGATTCTTCACTCTTCAGCTTACTGTACCCTTGTAACCTCTTGTTTTATCTCCTGCAAGGGAGCAGATGGTGTTCGTGGATTGAAAGGTACCAAAGGTGAAAAGGTGAGTGGACGCTGCATGTTTGCATTGATTTCCTCCAGCCTCTGCGCGTTTTTGCAGACCCTTCCCACGGGATGCTCCCTGGGACATTTCCTCCTGCATGAGAGGTTTCTCCTAGACAAGCAGCGGGGCTGAGCCCCTGAGGACTGGTGACCTCTTTGTTTTCGGAGCGCGTGCAGGCTGGGTACCTGCTGGGACGTTCTGCCACATCTTGGCTCAGACCTGGCAGTAATCGAGCCTTCGTGGTGTGCTCGGGTTTTGAGCTGTTTGCTGGGGCAGCCGTTGCTGATAGCTCAGGATCCAGCGTCTGGGTGATTCCCTTCCTACAAAATTTTCAGCTTGAATGATTCGCTGGAGCTGAAGGGTTTGTGGGGTGTTACAGCTGGATAACAGCGTACGGGATACGCTGCCCAGCCCACTCATCAGGGCAGCTTGTGAAACCTAAGAAAGTCAACACAGTTTATCTCTGCAGATCTCAGAAGCAATTGGTTTCTTCCAGAGCAAGGGCAGGAGGTGGAGAAAAATCTCACTCACTCCAACAAACAGATCTCTGCTCCTTTGTTCCTGCCCCCAGCAGTTCGGCAGCAAAGTTGGCAGTTTTAGCAAAGGGAATCCTGACAGGGACCTGCCAAAGTTTAAATGTCTTTCTAGGAACCACGTCTTCACTGCCTAGGAGAGATTTGCTGTAGGATGAAATGCATTATTTATTTGAGCTCTGCAATTAAACCTTCTTGGCTGAACGAAATATTGCCACTGTCCTGGAGGTTGCCTCAAAGCATGGTGTAAAACATCCTCCATGAAAATAAAGCCAGTTGTATTTCAGAAATAATTGGTTCCCAGTACTGGCAAGGTGGTGTTATTCACATGGGGTCAGATTTGTGATCTTGGTTTGCAGCCAGGATGGGATGTAGGGAACACTTGCTGTGGTCCTTGGGGACCTTGCTGCTCACAGCCTGGCTGGGTTTTCACACCCGTTTGTGCACACCAAAGACTTACAGAAACCAGTGTGATGGGCAGTGGGGGACCTAGTCTTGTCCTCCCGGGTCGGGGCCATACCGTGAGGCTAGAGAAACCTTTTTTCTTTTTTTCCACCTATGCACCTTGTCTGATTTTTTTCCCTTTCTGTTATTTAGGGTGAAGATGGCTTCCCTGGCTTCAAAGGTGATATGGGCATCAAAGGAGACCGGGTAAGTCTGTGACCGGTGTGTTCTGGTGGTGCTTTGCCTTTCAAGCCCGTGCGTTAGCGTGCAAGCATGGCTCGGGGAGAGCAGCAAGGTGGGCATGTCTGATCCCGAGGCAGGAAATCAGGAATTGCTCATTCACATCGAGCACAGCAGTTGTAAATCCCTAAATTTGCTAGTCCCATCTTAAAGGTAAAACGTAAAACTGGATAATTATAGAGGTCCTGTCTTGCTGCTTTGACCGCTAGGAATATTGCATGATACAGCTGGATCATCTATTTATTTCCAGTATCTCTTTCCTCCCAGAATGTAATCTAGGGTCTGGCAGGCATCTTTGTTTGCTGACCCTAATGTGCTTGCATACCATGGGAAATGTAAAAGTTACTGGGAGTTGCCTGGTTGCAAAAGCTTTTAAAATCCGTGGAACACACAGACCACCAGAGACCCCAGCTCACACTCGGATGCAGGCAGCAGCTGCAGCCTGTGGCTTTGCAGCACGTCTGTCCATCCTCCATGCCCAGCCCTTGGGGACAGGGTGCTGTCCTCGTCCCCTCCCCAAGTGATGCATCACCAGAGGCTTGGTGCCTGAAACTCCCGCAGGGATCAAGAGAGCTCTGCAGTCATTCCTCCCCATGTTTACAAGAAAACTTAATGCCTTGCATGAAGGTTTGTAAAAATAGACACCAAATCTTCCATTTCTCCTGGCGTTCAGCTCTGTAACTGAGCAGTCAGAACAATTGGAAGCTTCCCCAAACCCCGCTTCTTGCCAAGGAAGCAGGACCAAAGGTGGCATCTTGGGGAGGTGACTCCTGTCCTCACCAAATGCAGACAGCCGTAAGCTGCTTCAAACAAAGCTCAGGACTCAGGTTCCCACCAGCAAAAGCTCTTTGTGTTTTATGAGCTATGAAAGGACAAAGGGTTCTCGAGAGCCTCGCAGATAAATCTGCGTCCATCCAGCTTCTGGGGAGCGAGAAGAAGGCTGCCTGTGTTCACAGCGTGGAAGCATCTCCTCTTACCCCGCGTGACAAAATGACAAGTGGTGTTTTGTGTGCCGCAGCCTGCGGCGTCACAACAATTCACGTTAATAGCTCGGTCCTCCCAGCTCTCAGATTTCCTAATGATTTTCAGCACAAAAGCTCCAGCCCAGTCTTTCTTCTCCAGTTGCCCAGTTCAGCCCTCAATTAAACACTTCCCAGGGCTTGCTCTACATCACACTGCGATTCGGGAATCGGGAGGTGGGTGTGTTGCAATCAGAGCTAACGAAGGCTGTTCTGGTGGAGAGGGGCTGTGTGTCGATGGGATAATTGAGCCCCAGGAAAAGCCAGCTGTTGTTGGAGATAATGGCCAGGCTGTGTGAATGGACGCTGGTGCTCTAATAACGCCCCGCAGTTGCCTCAATGACAGTCTCCATTGATCCTCTTGGTGAGGACCGGCTTTCTCCAAGGAGAATCTCCCTGGAGTATCTGATTGCAGCCGTGAGGGTGTTGCTGTCGGCAAACACCGACCTGCCTCGTCAACACTTATCTTGTGATTAACAGGGGGAAATTGGCCCTCCTGGCCCCCGGGGTGAGGATGGTCCTGAAGGTCCCAAAGGTCGCTCTGGCCCCAATGGAGATCCCGGTCCTCTTGGTCCTGCTGGAGAGAAGGTGAGTGTGGAGGATGGAATTGCCCAGGGATGTTTTACAGCAAAACCTGCTTTTCTTTGGGTGTCCCAGGTGGGTGCCCAGGGCAGTGCCCAGCATAGGGGGACAGATTTAGGGCAGAGGGATGGAGAGGAGCCACGGGAGCTTTGTGTGGAGGCTTGCATGAGTTGTTCAACACAAAGACCACAGGAGACCCAGGGGAGATGGTTTTACTCGTGATCTGGGTATATGGAGATGTTGGTCTCTTTGGTGTTATCTGCTTGGGTGCAATGTCTTGGAAAAAAAAGGCCAGAGGAAAAAAAATTGAGAAATTGAAAGTGTCACAGACTCCAGTCTAATTTCTAAGTGTATTGCATTAAAATACACTGGTAGCAAAAAAATAACCATTCCCTACTAGTTTCCTGACAGATTTACAGTTCTCAGTCTGCATCAAACCCACCGGGCAGGGCAGAAGATGCTCCCAGTGTCCTGACAGCTTTATTCCACCCATGTCGTGTCTGCTTCGCTCTTGATTTCTCCGCACTTGCCATCTCCCCTTTCTGCTGGTGCGAATGCGAAGCTGCTCGCGAGGTCTCTCCTGCCCCCTCGCTAACACACTTTTATTTGTGTTTCAGGGAAAACTCGGCGTGCCAGGACTGCCCGGCTACCCGGGCAGGCAGGGCCCAAAGGTAACTCGGCTGGTTCGGTGCTGGAGAGGTGCTGGGGTGTCCTGGGGAGCCCCGCGGATGCCGGCCGAGCTCGGATGTTGTGCCGTGCCCAGGGCTCCATCCATCCCCTGCTAACGGGGCGAGGTGGAACAGCAGCATGTCCCACCACCCCGTCCCTCCTTCCCACCCGTGCAGGACACACTTACAGATGGGTGAAAATAGCTCCGAGCCCTTAGCTGGTGGAAATCAGTGTGTGGTTCAGCGTTGCTTCCTGCAGAGCGGTGGGAGGAGATGCGGTGGGACTTAGCTGGTGGAAATCAGTGTGTGGTTCAGCATTGCTTCCTGCAGAGCAGTGGGAGGAGATGCGGTGGGACTGGGACTGCAGCACAGGAGGGTGTGCGGGGCTGCTTTGGGGATGGGTATAAACAGGCTCCATGTGAGCTTTCATGGTAGTAGTGGGCACAATAGTCCTTCTCCTTGTGTTACGTTCCGTATCTTCAAAGATCTACACTAGTGTTAACTAATTAATTAAGGAGAATAGCTAATGAATCAGGATCTCCCTGAAATTAAAATAAAACTGCCGTTTGCAGATTGCACACATCCTTTGAGTCTTATCTGTACGCCCACCTTCATTTGGGCCATTTTCAAGTGTTCTTTTTAATTTAAAACTGTGAATTCTACTACATAGACTCAGGCTGCAGCCCAGTTTTTACACTCCCTGGAGGCTTTAGGATCTTATGTTTTTGTAAATTTTTTTTTAAGAATCATACTTTATTATTATTCATGTTCATTGCTTGGAAAAAAAAAAAGTCTTGTTTAACACTGGAGACAAAATTATCCACAAGAGATTGTTTCCTGGTTGTGCTGTTGATAGTTGATTTTTTTAATTTGCATTTTATATCTGAGGTAGGGAGTTTTTTACGTTTCTTTGACTAATTCATATTTTAAAAGCAGCAGCAGCTATTCTCCAGGCACTTACGTCAGAAAGGAACAAGCCAGGAGTTAAATTTTCATGTGCAACACAGTGACTTAGGAGCTAAAACCCAAAAACCCGCCTGTTCCCCAGGCGCCCGGCGCAACCCTGGGCTTGAGCCTTTGCAGTGACTCCTAATGAGGCACGGACCTTTTTTTTTTTTGGTGTTGTTATTTTTGGATAAAATTTAGTTTCTGAGGTCATTTCGGGTCTGTCTTGAGTTTTGTTTTTATTAAAGGAAGGTTAAAAGAAAAGGCACGAGGAGCTGCAGACGTCAGCGGGCGCGGGCTGGGGTTATTCCAGGGCAGCG